AAAAAGCCTGAGGTAGACAGGAGTGTGGAAGGCACCGCAGGTACAGGGTGACTTGGCGGGGGAGGAGGGTATCACACCCTCTGTAACTGTGCTTGATGACTACAATCACAGAAACTTCACTTAATCTCACCAGGGCTATTAGGAGCTACATTTCCAGGTTGCATCTAGCTGCTCAGAAAGATAACTGCCTTGCAGACTTCAATATACCTTGAGAGAATTAGATTTTTCTAAGCCAAAGATTAAATTCCTCCTGCTTTCCCCTTCTTCACCGTAACCAGGGCCTCATGCAAGCAATTTTATTTTCCCTGTGCACCGGGCAGATGACATCCTGCTAAGTCCGCCAGAAGAAGGGAAGCCTGAAATACTAGGATCTGTAATGTTGTTTGCTAGCCTGCTTGCTTTGCTTACCTATTTCCACTAAAGGGGCTGCTATAGAAAGCCTTAATCAGAAAAACTATAAAATGAAGTGTTCACTGCAGCTTCCAGGAGCCAATCCAAGTCAGTAAAGGACGGCTTCTACTTCTAACCATACACAATTTGCTTTGGTGCATTTCAGCTGATTATAATTGTTTGCTGGGTAGAGGGAGCACAGAGAAGGGGAAAGATTATCTGCTAAGACTTTAAGCAATCAAATGTCATTGCGAGGTTAGAGAAATGATATGCAAATCAAGTTCTGTGGGCTTCAATAGCGAGTCCTCCATGAAGCTCCAGCTAATTTCCCAAACAGAGCCTGTTCCACCCTCCTCTGGGCTCCGGAAACACTTAATTGCCACCTCCACTATGTCACTTGTGACTTTGCATTACAATTACCTGTTTGAATATCTGTCCCCTCTGCTACACTAGGAGTTTGTTAAAAGCAGAGGCTGTATATTTTGTTTATCTTATCCCCAACTCCTGCTTAATGTCTACACGTGGCTGATGTTCCACATATCTAGGTTGAATGAATGAGGAAGCCTAAATCAATTTCTCATATATTCCTTCCTGAAAGACCATAAATTTGTTAGCAAAGGTATTTTTCCACTCAGAAACTAAATCAAACACACATGCACACATGCATACACTTGTGCACAGATGCATGTGCACAATGAATGCATATGTGGCAAAGACTTTTTAATATGTTAATCATTTACAAAATAAAATAGTAATATAGTGGAAGACATTTAGATCAGTATTGTCAGCTCAGAGGTTTTAAAAAATGTCCTCTAACAAATCTCAAAACACCCCTTTAGGCTAGTTGTGCCTGTCCCCCCACTACGCTGGGGAACATATAGGTTGGAAACACACATAGTGCGACATCTTTGAAGGTCTGAAGATCAGCACATACAATGGGGCACTGTGTGGTGCTGAGGCTGTTCCCCAAATTTAAAAGCATCACTGACCAGGACAAAGGGCCTAGGCCAGGGAGGAGACCACAGACCAAGTCAAGCTGTACACTGCTCGCTCGGCCTTCTGGTGCCTGTCTCCACTGCCCCTTTACCAATTTAGTTCTCTTTTTTAAGGCTCCCAAAAGGAGTCTAAAATACTCTAAACTATTGCTTTAGGGATTAGAAAATAAGACCCAGAAAGGGGTGCAAGCCTTGTCTACTTGTACCAAGTCCACCTCTCTCCCTCTCTCGGAACTCTTGTTCTGGGGGAAACAAGCTGCCATGGTGTGATAAGAAACCGAAGTCACTGGCCAACAGCCAGCAAGGAACAGAGAGGCCTGCCAACAACTACGTGAGTGAACCTGGAAGCAGCTTCTCTGGCCCCAGTTGAACCTTGAGATGAGTGAAGCCCTGGCCGATAGCTTGACTGCAAACCTTACAAAAGACATTAAGCCAAAACTACCCAACTAAGCTACCCCTGGACTCCTGACACTCAGAAACTGTGATTTAATAAATGTTTGCTATTTTAAGCTGCTAATTTTGGGGTGATTTGTTACACAGCAATAAATAGCAAATATAAGTATCTTCCACTTCTAGGTTCTGTCAGTTTTCTTTCTAAATATCTTTCATTCCATTCCCTCCTCTCTACCCTACTGTTACTTAGTTTGGGACTTCACCACTGGTTACCTAGGCCACCAAATGGTTTACCTGTTCCCAGTTTGTGTCTTCCAACCTACTCATCACACTGCTGAGTGACATTTTTAATACAAAAAGTCATGT